GGGTTTTTCTCCAGTTTTAACTGCGATTTGCAAATTTCTAATCTTCCTTCCCAGTCAACTCCTTTCCAAATCACAAATGCACAGGGAGGTCACGCACCGTGAGCTGTTTGTGACGAGACGTGATCATTTAATCCCGTTTTACCTTCTGTTTCCCAGCTAATTTTTAATTCATGTCATTTCTATATCCTTCACTTGCTACAGCTTAATTTTTTTCTAGTAACCTTGTGCGAGACATTGCAAAAGTCCCGTGAAACCTCCTGCTAACACGTTTTCTGTGAGCATGCAAGGCACAGACACAGGAACGATGTCTCAGAGGCAACGGCAGGCTTCATGCTGACAAGAGGCACCTTTGCTACTCAGAGAGAAGGTAAATCTCGCATGCACCTATTCAGGTCCTTCGGGGGTTTCCTGTATCTATCTTAAAGGTGCATATGGGCAGCCTAAGCTCACCTCTTCTTTTGCTGACCTTCTTCAGTTTATTCCTCCTCTTTTCTCGCTTTCCCAGTTTTTTAGGAGACAGCAATCGTAATCCACGCCGCTCCTCGCTTTCAGGGCTCCCTGCACCTGTAAGTTGAATTCTGCGAGCGTAGGTGAGCGGACAGGAGAGACCAGCTGAGAATTCGCAGGTACTACAGAGAGCAGTAAAACCCACTCCTCTCCCTGGTGGAAATGCCCATCTGGAGCCATGTTAGGGCTGCACTGCCTCTTTCCAGAGCTCCTTCACCAGCACATCGTGTGCTCACTTAACACACCCAGGTATTTCTGCCTCCATCATTCTGATGAGCGAGCTCCTAGCTTGTAGACGTGTGAAGTCTCGCTCCCAGACTGACAACTACAACTTAGCCTACTCAATTCTGTCCCATATCTACTACTCCCTTCCTCAAGTACTTTCTGCACAGTGCCCCAAGCACCCCTCATACGCATAATATATCCAAACAGCAAATTTAATCATGAAGTAGATGGAAAAGAGTGTTTTCCACTGCCCCGCTACCTGTTACTTCAACCATCCCTCTTGTTTAGCAACTGCATGTTTGCAGCCGACCCAACCTTTTCACACGTGAACATACACTCAAAATCTGGCAGCCCGGTGCTTTGTAACTCAGCAGTTTGTTCTAGCACGTCTTCTGACGCTTCAGTCTTGAAAGATAATACCTCGACTTCATTACTAAGGAAAAAGCAAGCCTGTGGTAGGTGTATCCCTGACAGAGAAAGCTGATATCGAGAAATTAAACTTCCCCAGAATGTACTATCTTCCTTCTTTCATCTATTGATCCCTACTGATAGGGCAGAGGCTATGAAACTGGCTGTTCTTTATAAAAGACTGTCATCTTCCAAAAAAGAAGCTGTTTGCTTTCTGAATGCTATTTTAGCACATCCCTCCCTGCACATTTGGACTCCTTTATTGATTTCCATGGGACAAATTCCCAAATTCTTAAGAGGTCAGTTTGGTTGTCATCTTGATGCTTGGCCACAATGCTTCACTTCCCAGTTTAGGGCTTAGTTTAGAGCTTTTTATTATTGTTGCAACAGTACATTTGCCATTCTCAAGCTGCCTCCTGGCAGTGCATTAAAAAAATAATTCCTCTGCTGCACTGCCCGCAAAGCCTTACCTACTATATAACGCACGCGCCAAGACCAAGCATTTGATGACACCTCCTTGGGTTTCCCCTTAGCATTATGGTGAAGGCCTGTACAGTAAAAGCAACTATTTGTACAAAGACCCTTTGAAAAGCAGACTTTGACCGCTGTGACAAAACCAAGGAGGTTCCTGGGCTCTTTAAGCCGGCAGCAGCTGTCTAAATCGCACATGTATCACGTCCCCTGCCCCATAGGGGCAGAGCAGCTCCAGCCAGCCCGCTCGCTGCTGAGGGACATCCCTACAGCGGAAAAGGGAGAAGACAACTACGTCAAGGCGATTCAAACGAAAGCCTTCATTTAGTAAAACTGTCTGAACTCCAACGGTGCCTTTGGAGTACGCTGTGCAGATGGCTCGCTGTCAAAAACCGCATCTCACTCCACTAGCCGAAGCGGTAATAGCCTGAAAGTACCGTTTGAGATAACGAACGTGACAATATCCCGATACAGGTCATAGCCCCATTTGTGCCTCGAGGCTCGAAAAATCTGCTCTGCCTGTGAATCTGTTACGGCTGCAAGAGCCGGGCACAGCGCTGCACCTGGGTGAAAGCCTGCCTCGTCCTCCCAGCGCACACGGCAGCTTGTTCTTCCCCGGCTCCACGTTCCCGACTGCACCTCGGGGGTGCTTCAAACTAATTTATCATTCAACTAGGCACAGCACGGGCTGAGCAGCAGAAAGGGACAGCCTCCCCCCTTCGGTACGGGGACCACTTTAAACTCACTGCCACAGCTTAAAAGGAGAAACCGAGCAGCAAGAGAGGTTTCTCCACATTTTCAGGCTTGGAGCTTGAGCACACAAGGACATCTGAGGCACGGGTTCAGCCCTGGCCTCATGCTGCTGCCTGAAACGGTCCAGGCTCTTGTGTACCACTGCTGGAGCCTTGCCAGATGAGAACTGGACTAAAATTCTTCTGTCTACCCTTTCCCCACACAAAAATCAAGCTAGGAGAGCAAG